ACCCAAATATGGGCATATCACATTTGTTTGTCACATAAAATGTTATAATAGTGGACAAAGCTTTGAAAGACAAATACTGCTGAAATCTAATATAAACTTGAAAATTAATTACTTTTAAGTAGCTTGAATCGTATGAGAAAACATTTTCAATCACCAACTAGCAAGGTAATAACAAAAAAAACAAAAAAAAATAACGTACCTTATTTATATTGCGCCACTTTCAATACAAACTGTTCAGAGGCACATCGCAAAGAAATCATTAACTAATTAATAATAATATACAGTATATCTAAATCAGCAGTTTCAGTTTATTTTTTTGAGAGCTTTCCTAGTCTTCTACATTCATCCTTACAACATAACTGTTGTTACTCAAAGCATGAATAATGGATCCAAATGATCGACAGGATATAATGAACACAAATTTGAAAGCAATAAACCAAGATTTAATTAACATGTTTCTGAGTATTATTACACAGTCATCATCAGTAAGTAGGTATTGAGTTTATAATAAACTTGAAAAATGAATGTCAATGATTGAATTTGCCTATTTTGTAATATGTTATTAGTTTTCCAGTGAAAACTTATAAAAGACAAATTTTATTGGAAAATTGTTTTGATATCTTATTGTTTTCAAATGAGCATTCAATATTTTAAGTTTATTTTTTAAAAGTTTTTCAGATTTTACCTAGGATATCTTTCCTGCCATTTTCCATGAAATTTTTCTTTCTTTGAACGTGTTTCTTTCAGTTCTGTGAATCATTTTACAGTTTTGTGTTTTATTGTTTTGTTAGGCTACAAACCACATCTGCCTGTAATATGATAGAACCCTTTTTTGTGTTTCACCATTCATTACTGTTTTACAGAAACTGGTTTACATTCTTCCAGTGTTTTATCATTTTTATAAAATTGTCTCGAGGATTTTCGACTGTTGTATCACCACATTTCAAGGTTCTTATTTTTCCATTCTTATATTTCTTTTTATTTTGGTAGGTACTATACAAGGTTGAAAAATTTAAAAAAATGTCATTGTAAGTACAGTTACCAAGTTTATTAGGTTTACGCCCATCTCAGGTATCAGCCCCGCCCATACATTACGTTCAATTTCAATTTAATGGATATCATTTTCGTAACAGTGGCACACGTTGGACAATACCGAACATTGCATCCAAATATAAGAAAAATAAACTTAAACTAGAAGTAAGTTAAACTAAAAATGTACTGTATAAACAAAGTAAAACTTATCGACATGGCATGTAGGCCTATGTGGTACGGTAGTCTTACAGTACCGTATTATATACAAAGTTGCAGTCATGTTAGGAAATACATTTCAACTTGGGTGGGGATGGGGGAAATAAAAAAATAATAAAAATAAATAAAATAAAATAAAATTTGTTTAAAGGTATTTTTAGCAAGTTAATACAGAGCTAGAACTAATAAACCAAATATAGGTTCATATTTACTAACACATTTAAAGGGAATACAAACACTAATTAACTAAGTAATAAAACTGTAGTAATTATATTTCTACTTTACATTTTACAAGGTATTTATAGCAAAATATAGAACTTAGAACTAACCAATTGATCTACCAGTCTTTCCTCGGCAGAAGTCTAGGGTATGCTTGGAATAAAATAGGGCTCTGCTGAATTCTTTCAGTAAAATTAAGAGTTGCTTTGAATTATTTTAGGCATGAATTGCCAAAAATTGTTACATACGTAATTGACCCACAATCAGGTATCGAGGCTGAGAATTCAACCAAAGCAGATACTATCATTATTATTTGCCTACAGCTTTAGGTACAGTAGTGGACATTATATTAAGACTGTCAATTCCTCATTTTCTAGAGGATCAAAACAATTTATTTTTTCCCAAACTTAGAGACCTGTTTACTAAATATTATCAGTCAAATCATAGAGCAAAGAAAGGCTGTTTACAAATATAAGATCACTATTGTTTATACAGCTGTTAAATTGGCAATGAAACTAATTACTCTTTCTAGTTTTTAATTCAAGGGTATAATTGATAAAATATACCATATGAATTCACATATTAGATTTTAGTACATATGGTCTAGTTATCTAGTGAATGACAAGCAAATCTGTTGCTCCGATATTTTTCATTCAACTTGAACTTGGAGTTGTATTGGTCTTATTGTTAAAAGATAAAAGCATTACTCAAATACTGTACAGATCTTATGGTTGCATAGGTAACTATTGTAGCATTTATAGACACTCCCAATTCCTTTTGTTTGCCACCTGAAAAAGGACTAATGTGTCCATTGTATAAGGAGAAAATTTTAGTAAATTATGGTGTAGGTGGATATTGACTATGAGGAGCCACCCCTATGGACACCTGGTTGATAGTGTATAAATTAATATTGAAAGGTCTACTGATTAATCTCAGATAAGATAATATATACAGTACTCCAGTATTAATTATGTCATCATCAGAAATGATAAATAATGTCGAAATATTGAATCCCGACACGATGGCGTGCATTTCTATACTTGGAGAATTTATTATACTATAAAATTACTATTGTGTACTGTAGATTATGATTGGCGCTTCCTCATAAACAAAATATGTATTTGTTTAAGAAATCAATTAAATGACGAGTTGAATGGCTGAGCAGTTAAGGCAGGGGCGTCGCAGCCTACAGCCATAATATTGGCGCTGGTTCGAACGGCACGCTTGCCTATGGTTCTGGAGGTGGAACAAGTCTTCTCGAATAAGGACTATAAACCGTAGGCCAAGTGTACACAAATGGCTCGTGCACTTTAAAAAACCCAGTACATCTGTCCAGATGATAAGAGGTTACCCCGGTGTACTGGCCCATACAGCCCCTGTTGTCTTGTGATGGGATTGCCACTTTGAAGAGTGATTTAGTTCACTGTTTGGCATATCTTTGGCCCTAGTGCCTAAAGCTGAATTAAAAGACAAGACTACAGTATCTATTTCATTAACATTCCAAAATACTGGTTTCAATTTAACTTAACATAATAACAAAAAATATACAAACATTTATTTGTTTATGTCATATACAGAATAAATTTAGAATAAGAATAGCATAAATACTCCTGATTTGTACCTCTCATATAAGCAAGGCTATTGAATAATGCTGCGCAAAACATGAATTTCTTCACTTTCAAATACTAAGCACCAAAGCATTTATTAGGAAATTGATCAAATTTTGCAGCATTTAATTAGGAATACAGGTTTGAAGATATGTTTTGTGTTAGTAGTACACTAACACATCCAATTTCTCACATTAAGTAACAACATTCATTGCAACAGGTCAGATTGGCTTATTTACAGTGTACTGTAGCACAGGGCACCATTATAACATTCCAAAAATTTGTAATAAGCGCCGCTCTGAATAAATGTCTTTTCTTCAAGTGCCGCACTAAAGATTAAAAAAAGGATTATAAGGGCCGCGGCTATATTTCATGGTACAGTAATATATTTAGATGCATCAAATTTTATAGCCCTATTATTGCAAAAACAGTAGCAACATAATATACAAAGTGAAGCCATAATCCTGTGAGTGTATTAATAATACAAGACTAATTACACATTATACCAAATATATCCAACACAGAACATTCGCAAATTAAAACATGGAACAATGCAGTGTTGACTATACTGAGATAAGTGTGTAAGTCATGTCTGTTAGAGATATGAGAGAGCTGCGTGGTGGAATCAATAGCTTTGTATTTTAGATGCTGACCATTTCACAGTGAAATCAATATAGTGGTGTATCAATTTAAACAGCTGTTGATATAGAAAGTACATTGCTAAAAAAAATGTTTGACCATGGTCTGCCATTGAATATTCATTCAAACATTTTATTATAGTTAATCATTATGTGTATAACTAATAATTTCCCTGTTGGACAATCATGGACCCCCATGATAAGGTCGGAATAAAGATATTATTTGTTTGATGAGGTTAAATGGCACTAGATGATATCTTTAGCCTTTTGCCATGCCCTTAAAAAAGTTTATCATCAATCATAGTTGGAAATATTCATCTGGTTTGTAGATATGATGTGAGAAAATTTTTATTAAAAAAAACAATGTATCTTGAACTAACCTTTACTAACAGTTTGATGTTCATTACACGAACATCATCTTCATAACAATAAGTTCGTATATGTGACTCGGGATGTGGGCGCCCTTATCTCCATTCATGGTTTTTTTCCCTCTAAATATTATTTATTTATTTAAAACCATATTTTGGGTGGGCGACCCTTACAGAATATATCTGATGTTCAGGGGCCCACTTAAATACAAATATATAAAAAGTATATAAAAATATAGGTAATCTATCAATTGGCTGTATCAATATTCTGATCCATATGGACTCTTTGATATCATCAGTCATTTTTTAATAATTAAAATGATTCTCAATTGATAGTATATTTATAGCAAAAACAAGCCAAACCAGTCACTGGTCGCAAAAATAGATTTTTAGTTACTAATACGGGGTTAAACAGTAAAATAAGAGCTATAAAATGGTAAAAGGATCATTTAAGTCCAACATTTCCTTATGAAGTTACAAGCATTCAAACATAGAGCTGTTCAAAGAACAATATTTGAGAAATCAGCCTTCAAAGTTATGATTTCTGGCATTTCTCAGGCAGAGACCATCACTAAATCGTTAAAAATTTTTGTTTTAACATTTAAAATGGGGAAAATAACAGCATGGCATGATGTATAGATATATAAAGGTTAGTTTAATGCAATAAAATAGATTTCAAGAAGTTTAGCATCCCAGCATGTTTTGGCTATTATCTCTGGAACATGAATTGCAACGAGTGACTTGTTTGGCTTGTCTTTGCCACATATATGGTTCTGAGAAGACTGTTTGAACATTAAAATCCAAACGGTTGTTACCATCAATTGAGGTTTGTAGCATACTGTATGCCACATAGTGAACAGAAAGCTTATAAATTAATTATTACTGTCAACTTAAACTGATTCTCTTTCTTACTTTTGCAGGGAGTAAAGAGATTATTCGCGTAATGAGGTTAAAGGGCATTGAACATCATCCCAAGTTTAGACCTGTTAAGCATATTCCTTTTGAGGAGTTTTTGGTTCTTATCGCACATGCCGGTTGCATGATAGGTAACAGCAGTGCTGGTGTACGTGAGGCTGGTGCTTTTGGTACCCCTGTTGTAAACCTTGGTTCCAGGCAGACTGGTCGTGAAACAGGTAATCGGTGTTTTTCTCATTTGAGTATATAGCACCCATTCATTTGAAAAATAGTTCAGTGTTATTTATATAATTTAGTAATAATAGTTTTATTTTACATTTGTATTTGTAATGATTTTTCCAATCACTTGCGCAAAATATCTGACAAAAGACTTCGTACCTTGTTTGGCGTATAGGACACGGTTTTACATGATAGTAGTATATAACACATTAATGTATAATACCAAGGTCGGTGGGGACTTTATGCTATTATCACATACCATACCATAGATGATTAATATAACTTAAAGCACATTGAATTAAATGTGTATTTTATTGCCTTAACTGGAAAAAAAAATTTGTTTTTTAGGTGAGAACGTGCTTCACTGTCGAGATGCGGACACAACAACGAAGATCAAACATGCTTTGGATATTCAATTTCAGAAACAGTTCCCACCGTAAGTCAATGTCATGTTATGGTGGCCAGTGGAAACCTAAGAATATCTGAAATTAAAAATTTGGTCCATAAATCTATGCAATAAAATTAGGAATTGTATATGTGGCAAAGACAAGCCAAACCAGTGACTCCTTGCAAAAATTGATTTTTAGCTATTAAAACAGTGTTAAGCAGTCAAATGAAAGCTATAGAATGGTAAAAGAATAATTTAAATCCAACTTTTCATTATGAAGTTATAGGAGTTTAAACATACAGTTGCTTAAAAACAGTATTTGAGAAATCAGCCTTCAGAGTTTTAGGCATTTATTAGGCAGAAACCATCACCAAATAGTTAAAAATTGTTGTTTTAACATTGAAATGGGGAATAAGATAGACTTCCAAAATGTTGACATTCCAGCATGTTTTGACCATTTTCTCTCAAAAACATATTTGCGAGGAGTGACTGGTTTGGCTTGTCTTTGCCACATGTTTTTTCCAATTGTTGAGGAAGCTCATTCTAATTTTTAATTTTTAGCAGATAACTTAATACAAAGTAAGCAAGCCAAATATTGAATTTTATTATTTAAATTTATTACCGTTTGATAAATGATAACACTCTATATAGTCAGTACCATCTGGAAAACCCAATTATTGCCAATTCATAAAGTCATGCAAATGTCGTGCAGTTTAGGAAAAATGAACCTAGAAACATAACCAAGAATTCTTTCTGTAAAGCAAACCTCGACCTAAAGGTCATCTTTTAAATTATAAAATTGTGAAATATATATTGTGTATACTTTACAGGTCTTACATTTATGGTGATGGTCAAGCTGTCCCTCGTATCGTGAAATTCCTGAAAGCGATGAGTCTAAAAGATGAGATCCAAAAGTCTTTTGTCTTCCCACCGATGCCAGACAGCAAGAGCATGGATATTGACCATATTCTTGAAATTCAGAGCGCCCTCGCAGTTGACTTAGGTGGAACGCATCTTAGGGTCGCGATAGTCACAAACTCAGTAAGTTTATAAATATATTATCAATAATTAATTCTCAAAATTAAAATACTCTGATCAGGTCCTTACATATAGATTCATATCGGGAACTTCACCAGGTACACTTTTTACGAATTTTATTCTTCCTATAATCCTACTATAAACATAAGCGTGTGATTTCAAATGCTGGATTGTATTTTCGATTTTTCAATAAAGTCTAAGGCTGTGTTGCCAACAGGACTTATTTTCCAATAAATTATTAGAAAGCAGCCATTTTGTTGTTTTTCGCTGCGGAAATGGGGCCTAAAGTTTCCGATAAATTTTCACATGAGAATCAGATAATTTTTTGGAAAAATGTCAAATCACGGTAATGCATAGAAATATTTTGGGTAGTTAGTTTGGCAACTAGTATTAAGTAGGCCTAGGCATAATATCAAACACTTCATAATAAAAAGTGAGTACATTTTTCGTGCTTATTAAATATTTTTAAAACGGTGCCTGGCTGGGTGTATCAACCTGTTGTTTATTGTCGTAAAGCACACCAAACAAAGCTAGCATTCTTTTTTATCATCTCAATCCCATAGAAGTACAATAAAACATATTGTGACAGTGTATTTACCAGAGTGAAATAGTACAAAACGATTTCGCTCTTTGCACACCTAGGCCTATCCATCTCTCGCCAAAAATAGTGTCACCTGCAAGTCTGTCTCTTATACACATCTAGCTGTGTATAAGAGACAGGTTAAGCATATTCCTTTTGAGGAGTTTTTGGTGTTTCCTTCTTTTGTTCTGCCGGGTAAAATCAATTACTTTAGGCGACGTTTGTAGACTAATCTACTCGTACCAACGTCCGCATGTCGCGCTATCCTTATCCTACACTAGGCCTAGACTAGCTAGGATGGTATAGGCCTAGCCTTGAAGGGACGAAGGTCCCAATGAAAAACAACGTCGCTCTTTGATAGCTAACGTTGTCTATTTAACATCACAATAATTCATTATTAGACCTATAGTTGTTTTTTGAATTGTACTCCACAAATCTCAGCTGATACCTCGCACAACTCGTTAATGTCTTGTATCTATTGTCGTGACGTCATGGCTCGCTGGCTCACACTTGTGATGTCTCGCACTTGTGATCAACACGCTGGCTCGCACTTTGGCAACACTCTTTGGCAGTCAACTCGCCCCTAAAAAACCCGCGCTTGGAAACTTGCCACATAAAAAAATGTACATTTCCTAGACCGTGCAGTTTTCAAAATAAAAATTGTAACCTTTGGTAATCAACTACATTTTCCACATACATAGAAATTTTTGAAACTTTATTTAAAAAAACCTAAACCATAATTCACCACTATAGACACTTTTGGACAAAAATAAAAAATTACGACTTTGTTACCCAATGAGAAGTGTTCTAATATAGACAATGGGTCGTGTCCCATATTTGTTATATTTTTATTATTCATTATTTTCACTTGACTCGCATAAATAATTTTGTTCAAAGAACATTTATATGCAGTTGTACTTCGCAGCACTTCACTTGCAATTTGCAATTTCTAGTTTAAATTGCTTAATTTGATGGTAATAAATTTTAATTCTATTTTTACTTTCCAGGGAGAGATTGTTCATAAGCTATCAAAATCAACACCAGACACCAACGAGGGAAAATTATTAGAGTTGCTGAACATGCTCCAAGAGGCTAGCGTAAAAGCTATAGATCTAAACTGCAGAGTTCTTGGAGTTGGTATGATTGTTGTTGATTATTCATTGGTCAATTCCTTTTTGTTTTATTGTGTAGTTAATTATTCTTTTTTTAATGATTTATTCTTTGGTTAATTATTTTTCGTTATGGTTTTTTGTGATTACTTATTCTTTTCCTTTCACCCTTTTATGTATTCAATGGATAATTATGTTTTACTTTAATTGATTTATTTCTTCTGAAGTTAATTATTATTAAAAAAAAATTCTCTTACAGGCATTAGTACAGGTGGAAGAGTAAATCCACGATCTGGAATTGTTATGCACTCAACCAAAGCTCTTGATGGTAAATTTTTTCAACCAAAATATTTTAATCTGTCATGACATTCTTATATTACTGTATTACTTTATTGAAAACAAAATTAAAGCATGAAGCAATGAAAACACCGCTTTTTGCAAAAAAGGTTTTTTGGATCACAATTGATGCAATATATCTAGATTGCAAACATTTAGAATACCTTTCATTCTATGTGGACTTCATCTGCTAATGTTTCTTCTTGGCTTTTATTCACAGGATGGGATGAGATTGACCTTAGGTCGCCTATTTCAGCCAAGCTGCACCTTCCTGTTTGGGTTGATAATGATGGAAACTGCGCTGCCCTAGGTGAACGGAAGTTTGGTCATGGCAAAAATGTTGAAGATTTTATTACAATTGCCACAGGAACAGGTATGTAATGGCTTCAAAATTTTACATTCTACTCACGTAATTTTTAGTGAAGTATCGAAACTTTTTAGTACCTACACCCAATAAATATGGTATTCCCAATCTTTGCAGGAATTGGTGGCGGTATTGTACTTGGTTCAAAGCTCATACACGGCAATAATTTCTGCGCTGCTGAACTGGGGCATGTCAAAGTGTCTCTGGATGGTCCTGCATGCCTGTGTGGAAGCAGCGGCTGTGCAGAAGCCTATGCATCAGGTGCTGCACTTCAGAGGGCAGCAGTCAAACTCAATGAAGGTGAGACAGCATTCTCTAAAGCCCTGTCCAGACTATCAAATTTTATTTGACAAAAACATATGACATGCCTAAATATGGTCATGATGACATCACATCATGACCGTATATAGGCACATCATGACTATATATGGACATACCACAGTTTTTTGTCAATGAAAATTTGGTGATCTGGATAATCTGGCCAGACTAGCAAATTTTATTTGACAGAATTGTGACATGCCTAAATATGGTCATGATGACATCACATCATGACTATATATGTGGCAAAGACAAGCCAAACCAGTCACTCGTTGCAAATCGTGTTTTAGAGATAAAGACCAAAACATGCTGGGATGTAGAAATTTTTGAAATCTCTTTTATTGCGCTGAACTAACCTTTATATATCTATACATCATGCTATGCTGTTATTTTGCCTATTTTCAATGTTAAAACTTTTTAACGATTTGGTGATGGTTTCTGCCTTAGAAATGCCCAAAATCATAAACTTTGAAGGCTGATTTCTCAAATATTGTTCTTTAAACATCTGTATGTTTAAACGCTTTCAACTTTATAAGGAAATGTTGAATTTAAATGATTCTTTTACCATTTTATAGCTCTCGTTTTACTGTTTAACCCTGTATTAATAACTAAAAATTGATTGTAGTGACTGGTTTGGTTTGTCTTTGCTACATATATGAGGCATGTTGTGGAAAAATGGCTAAGTTGTAGCAAAAATTGAAATTCAAGTTATTGGTATTTTCAGATACCTGAGTATGTGATCTTTAAAATGAGGGGTCATTCATTCAAATTGGACATTTCAAGCCAAAGTTATTGCAAAGTGAAAGTGCAGTACTCTTAGAGTCAAGATAAACAGGATTTTGAGTAATTGCCTTTCAAAGTTATTTGTGCATACATTGTTTAATAGAATGAACTATGAAAAATAACGTTAAATAAACAATTTGTTAACCCCTTCCAGAACTAATACTTTGGGACATGATTAATAAGACATTAAACTGTTGATCTATAGTGAAAAACAAATTTGGATTTTTAGGCAATTTTTTGAGCTCCCATAGTTTATAGCTCATTTACTCAATACTGGACTGTGCGACAACTTAACCATTTCGCCACAACATGCATACAATATTTTTTTGTCAAAGAAATTTTGTAGTAAAACAGCAGTGAAAAAAGGTTTGCCTTTAAAGTTGTGTTGAAAATACCAGAATATTACTATCTGCTACTAATTTAATTTGAATGTATTTCATTCCGCAGCCGGTGAACTGTTCACCAATGGTTACAAGCAAGATGGTGATGCAGAAATCAGCGCCAAACATCTCATTCAAGCCGCGAAACTTGGCAATCAAAAGGCACAGGCTGTACTAGATCTAGGTAGGCGCTCACTCTATGTATACTGAAAAATAATTTAATGGCAACATAGGAATTTATGGGGATTAAAGCCACTGGTGCTGTTGTCATTAGGGAGCTTTCGATTTGCATGACTATGTGACGCTAGAACAGATTCACTCTTGCGCGACTGTCCTACGTTCTCCGCACAACGTAGATTAGGCTAAATTGCATCCTAGAATCCATGCGATGAAAACTTAAAGTATGCGCAGATGACTTTATATGCCATCATTACGTTTTACTGCGTCTTACCTTTGTTAAATGTGCCACCACCCAGAAGAAGTTTCCTAGACATGCTTACACATGCTTAATACAGCATGGACAAATATATCCAATTCTACAGCATCCCATTTAATACTCCTGGGTTTAAAGAAATGAATGTAGGGTAGGTGCCTTTCCAAAAACAAAATGCAAAGTGTAGGCTTGAACCCCTGATATAAAGGTTCATCCACTCCTAATGAATGTTCATGTTATCTCATCAATAGTTTTACCTTATTGTCCCAGGTTTTTTCGTGGTTTCATAACACCCCACTTTTATATATTAAATGTATTTGTATTTGCTAGTCTATGTGTACATTGTTTTACATTTTTAAGGAAAAATTATTAACTGGTAAAATATATTTTGATTTTTAGGTGCAAAAGCAATGGGCTCTGCTGTTACTAGTATGTTGCACGTGATGAATCCATCCCTCGTTATTCTATGCGGAATTTTTGCACCATTGTACGTCCATGAGGTGCGTAGGATGATAGATGAGGATGCATTGCGATCGGCTAGGCACGTTGATATCAAGGCTTCAGCACTCACTGAACCAGCTCTGCTAGGAGCAGCCAGTATTGTGCTCGAGTATGCAACAAGGCGTGCTTATTAAGTGTGCTTGAATGATGGGTTGGCATATCATGGAGAATTACTGCAGTGCATCGATATTAGAACTCTCAAGTAATTGGAAATAGTGGATGTCTATAATTACACTTACAAGATAATGAAAACAATGACATAAATTTGAAATCTAATTATGTGTATGAGTCCCAAATTGACTCAAATATTATCCGATATTTACAGTTAAATCAAATTTAGTGCATAGTGTATACACTACACATACAACTAGATTTATTAATATTATTATTACAATTATTAACTTTATTAAAATTCTTAGATCTGATAGTGATGCCACAGAGCACATTTACACTATACACACAACAGAACTTCGGTGAAAACGCATTGATGAGCTTTTATTTACTATAACGTATTAGACTTGCTTTTGTGATTCAAAACATTAAATCCATGTTGAATCATGATTAATTGCATAGATCAGGTAAAACCGCAATTTGAAGCCCTGAGCTTCTTTCTTTTTGCGAACTTTGGATGGGCTTCTTTTTGAGATGGGCTTCCTTTCGAGGCTAATTTTGCAAAGTAAAGAGGGGGCTTCTTTTCAAAATGAATATTGAAAATTTTGGAAATTACTACTATTATACAAAAAAATAGGGCCACTGTAACATCAATCTATACCATGGAGTTTATTAAATCACCTAAACAACTGTATAAAGCAAAGTTTTTAAAAATTTATTTTGTTGCTTTGTAATTCATGTACAGTGTATGTCCTGTACTATCTTCAAAAAAAAGCCCATAGGCTAATTTTGCAAACTTAAGAGGGGCTTTAATTTGAGATGATCTTCTTCTCGAGTTTAAGCCCATTTGGCTTCTATTCGAGGTTTTACGGTATGTGCTGTGTAAATCGCCAGTTTAAAAAAAAGTTTCCACTACAGTTGATGTAAAACGTAAACGGAATTAGGGTCATTGCAGTTATTTTAGATTTGAGAATCGTTGCTTACATTTTCTAAATCATTCCAGCAGATGTTATACATTATTATGTTAATATCCAGAGTTGCCTTGACAATACCATGCCAACTGTTTATGCTATCAAACAAGATAAAATTTAACCTTTGACCTCTCATGACCAAAGCTGACTGTATTTTATACCTTTTGACATATTTCTGTAAAAGGAGTGGAGCTGTTGATTGCAGGTAGAATAATTGCCTTCTAGTTGCAGAGTATTAAGAAAATACCTCCACTTCCTTAGTCTCATTTTTTTTCAAATATTTGTCAAGACAATTGTCAAGAAAATATTTACAAAATGCTGTTTTTACTTAGCTGCTTCTCCCATTATTTACATAATTAGCAGCTGAACTAATTCTTAGTTTATTTGATAAGGTGAAGGACTATCAGTTTGATAAATTTATTTTGTTATTAATTACATGATTGGTGTGAAGGTAGAAGTTATTTAAACAAACTGAATTTAATTCTTAATGACAACAAAACCTTTCTAGTCCAGTATTATGACCATATAGATACACAAAAAAAAATATATATATATTGATTATACAGTAGAATATTAACAAAGCTTTATTGATATTTCAAATCCAGTATTATAGTTAGCAACTATGTTCTTACACAGAGGTCGGCTTAAAATTAAGTCGGATGGTCAAAGTGAATTTTGATTTAACACCGAGGGTCACACCTGAACATTGATGTTTCCAGTGTGCTTCCAAAAACCTCCAAGCTTTGCTTTTACACCACTTAATTCCCAGTTTTAAAATTACTTTTTATAGATGACCTGTGTCGGGTCAGTGTTGCTTGGCAGCCCGCACACATATGCCCACAAAAAAATTGCTGTTGAGCCGCACTTTGCCCCACCTGTGTTCTTACATATATCCTTGAATTAAATTTTGTTTACTAAAATCAACTTTGTAGCGAAGATGTAGCTTTTTGGCTAAATAATTGCATCCAATCATTTGGGTTCCTGTCAAAATTAATATTTGTTCAGGAACTGAAAACTGGTTTTCTACTTAAGCTGTATTATATCTGGGCCCTGATGGAGAATGATTTCTGAACAGGTTAAGTTTCCCTGCTACTGAATCTATACTTTTTCTGTTCTTTTCTATGTTGTATACTACACCAGATACAGTATCGTGTAAACTACAACAACAGTTGATTATAACTTATCCTACCTCATAATGAATATAATTATCCTACTAAATAATTATACCAATATTGAAAATTTGTTTCTTTAATTACTAAAAAATTCCTATTTTTCAAATTACAACTTCCTTTTCAGTTCATTATTTTTCAAATAATTCTTGGGAGCTGTTGAATTTATTAATGTCCTAATTTTTGTTGTATAAGAATATATTTATATACCAGTTAATCACATACTGCCCAGTAAATCGTAGTAGTAGTGGAGAAATAAATAGGCGAAAGTCGAACCAGTGACATTCAAATTCGAGTCCTGATATTGCTAAACTGCCATGGTAGGCAATGGCGGTTCCGAGCACAGTACTTTCTGTGCTTATTCACAAACTAAAAAATTATATTTTGCCTGTGTAATTTTTATAGCTGAAATTATCTTTGATTTTGTAGTAATTTTAAAATCTTTTTGTATTAGAAAATATAGGCGTGCCTTTTGTAGGCCCTAGCATGCTTGTTTTTTTGCCTAGAATTTTTTTTTTGTCATAAATATATATATTTTTTTTTTAAATTTGTGTGATTTTACTTTGATTTTTGTGCTCTCGTGATTCACTAAATATAAATATGAATATGAATACAGTACATTCCTGCCGATTTCTTCACAGTGAAGTAAATGTTAAAGATGATATATTTTTTGAATATTAATTTTCGTTATTCTTTTTGGATTTCATATGAAAAAGTGTTTATGTAAATAGACATATCACTTCAGCTGCACACATGGAATGCAGTTAGATTTTTAAATCATCATTGATAGTTAATTTCTTATGAACTTATTAATCAAAATACAGTAATTAAAATACCCTAATGAGCCTCAAAGTTAATATTTTGATGTTATTAATGTAGAGGTGATTGGTGATATTCAGTGGTAATTTATCTCAAATGGCTTTTGTTTATAATATAATATACATATATAATAATTATATATACTGTATATCTTTGTTTGCTTAGTGGCAGAGGTCTAGGTCGGAGTTTCAATCGTTTGCTGTGCATTTCGCTTGTCCTTGAGCAAGGCACTTCATCTACATTGCTTCAGTCTACCTAGCTGTATCAATGGGTACCAGCAGATTGGTGGGAGTAGCCTGCAGTGGACTGGCATCCCTCCCTGGGGGGAGTATCACGCTCTCATACTTTATGCCGCATAAACTGGGGATAAGCTCCAACCCTGTGAGTCAGTGAGGATTTACTTTTTACTGTTTGCATACAAATAATATAGAGTACATGAGAGTATTCCTAAAAAAACAAATTGATTAAACAAAAAAAAGTTGGTAAAAGAAAAGCCAGGTATAGATGGAATTAGCTCCAGGAAGCGAGGCTTGCTTAGAGTCAAAGGTCACATTGGGTCATATTGTTGATGAAGGTAGTAAATTTAGTGGGGTTACCTAGATATTTCAGCGACAGAATAAGAAAGCATACAATACGTATATTAAGCTCTTTCAAATTTTATGCGACGGATTTGTGTGATGTGCCCATATACAGGCATGGTAATGTCATATTACATCCAAATATGGGCATATCACAGTTATTTGTCACATACAAGTAGATAGTGTGTATAAAACTTTATGCTCATTATTTAATTGAATTTTTTTTTTGCAATCCTAATTATTGATGGTATTGTCTGGGCATTTCCCTTTTTTAATAGCAATACCACTGTTAATCTGCACACTATTTTAAATAATTTATAAGCTGAGAGAGAAAACAAAATTGAAAGAATTGGAATATAGTTTATTGAATACAATTCTATAGAAATATAATTTATTATTTTATTTTGTTTGTGCATGTGTTTAATTTTCTTAATCTTATATTTGATTTTCTTAATCTTATATTTGATTTTCTTAAACTTAAATTATTATTTTAGTAAATTTTAAATGTTGGGTTTCTTAAGTCTTGGGCACAGGATTTCTTGTACAATGAAAAGTAGCTTCTTAATAGGTTGTAGGTTTATACTGTAACACAATGATACATGCTAGTCAAAATTAAGTTTCTAAAATTTATTGATTTTGATAATATACATCAGCCAGTGGAAGATAATGATGCCTATGGTCACATAATTGGACATTTCAATATTCAATTGTCCGCTGCATATGTTGCCTTCGTACCGCAGACATTTCACTGCTACTTTTGCTATCAATTTTGACTATTTATTTTGTGTAGATGATGTACTATGGTGATTTTTTTTTTCAGCTCTAATTGTATTTTCAGTTGTAATTTTTCCCATGAAAAAATAAAGATATATGTATTGAAATATATTTTTGTGTTGATTTCATTCATTTTACAATTGACAGTGATCCAGACAAAAATAAAATATTTATAAAAATATATTTTCATTTATTCTATAAAAATATTTATTAAGCATATTTCATTAATATACACAAGGGTAAGTGTTATTAACGGTGGTAGTGCAATATGTCAAATCATTCACAATATCAATTGATCAAAAGTTAAAAAAAAATTCATTTTGATGGATCATAAATCCACTTGGAAATGAAAAAAAAAAAAACAAAGAGAAATTGGCAGAGTATATATTTGCTAAAGGCAGATGCACACGCTGATGATCGTCAGCGTAACTCCATGGACACCGCATCATGACGATCATGTGTACAATAGATAGTTCATATTTATTAAGCAGATTGTCGAGGGTAAGTGTTATTAACGGTGGTAGTTATAAATATAAAGTAAATTTTGGATAGTGCAATGTCAAATCATTCACTATCAATTGATCAAAAGATTTAAATAAATTCATTTTGATGGATCATAAATCCACTTGCAAATGAAAAAAAAAACAAAGAGAAATTGGCAGACTATAGATTTGAAACTGGCAAAGTATATATTTGCTAAAGGCAGATGCACACGCTGATGGTCGTCAGCGTGACTCCATGGACACTGCAGCATGACAATCGTGTGTACAATAGATAGTTCAACGACGATCTGCTTCTATTGTCGCTGTCAAGCATTTAAAATGAGCAGTTTGTTCCTAGCATTAGCCATAAATGTACCTCTGAAGTTTTCCACTAGGTGAATTTATTCGAAGCGAAAAAAGGTACAACCAATCAGAGCTCAGGAAATAAGTTTAACATAAGTTTTTATGAGCACTCATGCAAATTGGTAAACAACTCCAATGCGATGTTAAAAGGCGATACTCGCCTTTTTCTTCTCTTTTGCTGTAAACCTGCCTCACCCAATACATCTTTCTGTATTTTAAAAATCTTGGCATTTGTCTTCGAATGATTAAGATTCTTAGTAACTTTAATTTTAATAAAAGGTGTCTTATAAGAGCCAGCATCTTGTAATTGCCACTAAAAATATAGCGCAAATTGTTTCGCCATAGTAATTTTTGATTCTTACGAATAAATTTTCCTGGTGGACAACAGGCTTAATCAAAGCTGTTATATACTAATTAGGTGCAATTAAAATTTCCAGTGACTTGTTGGTTGGTTTATTATTTCTTTTATGTTAATATATTAATATATGAGAGTAGTCATTACAAAATTAATCTTGTGGTACCAACATGAAAAAATGAGTTATTGACATATTTACAAAGATGTCATTATAGGCTTCATTTCGGTCTGTGAGGTTCCTACGTTCAGTGCAACCAGAGTGGCTGGGTCCCCCTTGAATCTACCACTGGCGTCTCATGTTTTACTTAATGCTGGTTTTTTTTTCTTCACACCAATCGTCCTGGCGATATATGCTTCTTGTTGCCGCTGAATCTCTGATTCTGTCAAGTGCTGTTTATAGTTCTCTTTCTGCAGTTTTAATTTTTGTTTGAGGGATTGAACTTCTTTCATTTGAGATATCATTTCATCTTCTGATTTCAGTTTCTCTGCCTGTAGTGCTGCAATAGAATTTATAATTGTTGGTGATAATAAAAGCTGATATACATAAATGTAAATATAACAAGTTCTCGTAATCTCGAAAGTTCTGATGAGGGCAGTATAATAGAGGCTGTGGAGTATATTGGCCCTAACGGCCGCCCACACAAAAAATATATATTATTCAGATTTAATCAATCAGATGAATGTTTCTACGCCCCTCATTGGAGCTAAAAATAAGAGAAAAAACATTGTCTACATAAATTTAAAGAAATGTCATTGGAATTATAGGAAATTATATAATTATTATTACTACAGTATTTATTATTATTATTATTGGTATTATTATTATTATTAATGGTAAGATATTACTTTTAATTGTGAGTATAACTGTTTATTATTTATCTTTTTAACATTTAAAATTTCCATAGCCTTTATTGATTGCCTTTGTAGTTTTATCCTGATTTTTGTCATTTGATTGTATATTATTGTATGTGTTGCTGGGCCCAGTGGAGGATAACAATACTTTAACACTGCTCAGGCTACCCAAGTTACCCAGGATAAAGAAAAAATAAAATATTGTACACATTAATATTAACCATATTTACCTGAAAATTTTGAAGACAGTTCATCATGCTTTGTTGATTCTCGCAATGCCTTGTTCTTTAGTAATCCAAACCTTAAGAATGATCCAGAAAAATTGTAAATAGAAATCAAATTACACAAAAAAATGTTTTATTGTTGTTGTTGTTCATGTTTTGGGAAAGGCTGACTGATCAGACAAAAAATTATAATACTAAGTCACTAACCACATTGTTAGATTTAGCCACCTGTGTGATTTATTTATCTATTTATTTATTGAACCATATTACAAGAGGGTAGCCCAAAATAACAATGCTGACTTAAAAGGGGCCCTCAAACATAAAACAATAATAACAACATACAACTAATTATAATAACAAGAAGAATGAATAATAAAAAAATAAAAGAGGTAAATATCATCAATACAATATAAAAATTTTAATTTAGAAAGTTTAAAAGTTTAAAAGGTAAAAATGAAATTCAAAACATTAAAATTAGTGTAAGATAACATTTAAGATTTTGTTTAAAAATAATGTATGACGAATCATATCTAAAACTGAGTGAATTTAAAAATGACGTAGCTCTAAAATGAAAACCAAAGTGATGCACATTTCGAAGACAGAATCTAAAGAGATCAAGATAGAAGGACAAACACTGTAGCAGGTGAATAAATTCAAATACCTTGGAAGCACATTAACATCAAATGGACAAAGTACAGATGATGTAAAGTATAGAATTATTTTAGGGAAGATGCATTTTCCAAACAGAAGAAAATCTTGATGGGAAAAATTAACATTGAATTAAAAAAAAACCAGAATAGTCAAATGCTTAGTATGGAGACCTGTATTATATGCTTTTGAAACTTGGGCAATGAGAAAGGAAGAAAGGGAAAAACTGCAAGCATTTGTAATGCGGATCTGGATAGATACTTGGTGTGACATGGGAAGATAGAACAACGAATGCAGAGGTATTGAGAAGATTGAACACAAAGAGAAGTTTACTAAATATGATGGAGCAAAGAAGAAAGAAGTGGATTGGTCATTTACTGACAGGAAATGGATTATTAAAGAACGTGAATGAAGTGAGAATGGAAGTTAAGAGAACAGTAGGCAGAAGAAGAAAGATGTTCATGGTGGTTTAATATCGGACATTAGAAATAAATATGAAAGCGCATCAAAGAGATTAGTGGAGGAACTGAATTTCAACTCATAAACGGACCTGCATCATTGCAGATTATTAATGAATGAATGAATGTAGAGCTTGGATGCCAGTGTAACAAAATGACAGATTTTGAACTTATATTTTATTTATGTACTTTCCTAATGTAAAGCACAGAAGCAATATATAAATATGCCATTACAATACTTTTGAAAATGTATACATAGTGGATTTGACTTCAAGTCCATTATTATTTAAAATTATAACAAAACCATTAGACAAAACAGAATCGCACTTCAATTACATTATAATGTAACTGAAGTGCAAATCTGTTTTATTAAGGGTCTATGGCTTTTGTTGATTTGAATTTCTTAAAAACCAAGAAAACCATCACCGCCAGAAACCATGAACATTAAGAAAAACTGGTCAAGCCAGAGATGTATGAGGTCCTTACGTGTTTTCAAATTGCGCCTTTTCTCGCTGCAATTGTCTCCTCAGTATCTCCACCTCACCAAGTGCAAATTGTAATTTTTCTGTTTCGCTCGCTAACTTAGCTTTTGTCTTTGCATGTTCTAGCCTTTCATCCTAAAGATAAAATGAATATTACAGAGAAATCACATGGGTATTAAATGAAATATTTATATAGTAGTATGAAATGGTGTTAAAAAAAAATCTCTTTTTTTTTTTATTAACTGTGCCAAACAAGTTAATTTTTAAACTTTTAAATAATAAATTTATATAATTCTTTTTTTTTTGCACCTAGGTACATTTATAGAACCCATGAAGTTGTCAGAAGTGCAATGATAAAGAAAATTTAATTATTTCTGTCAGATAGTAGTCACCCCTTCCATAAATATATCAAATTAAGTCGAGCTGGTCATATTCTGTACCCACAAAGGAACACTTAACAAAGTAAAAAATCTTTTCTCCCATATTAGCCATGAGGCAATTTAATTTTTTGTGGAAAAGATAATCGTGCAACTATTATTCTAAATAGAATAATGTATGATGCTGTTCTATGAATCTTCATGCTTTTATCCATTATAACTGCTTTTTATGTTTTGTTTTCTCATGTTTTATCTCACTTTTATAGCTGCTTTTTGCACTCTGATGTTGTTTTAATGTTTTTGAAGTGACCGTTTTAGACAATTTTATGTGTACATTCAGCTTAAATTTCAAGCAATGTTTCTCCTACGTTTGACAATAAATTATATTGATTGGAATTGAATCGACCAGTGAAGTTCAACTTCTACTAGTTGAAATACAAAATTCCAGAATTAACCAGTTTGGATCTGAATGACTTTAGTCCTGCAACCAATACATCACCTACTGTAAGTCAACTTAAGTAAAAAATTGTCAAAGTTTTACTAACCTTTAAATTTTTTACAGTTTGTTCATACAATTCCTTGTCAACTGTTTCTTCTCGTAGAGTTTCATTCTACAAAAATTAATATTCTTAATAAAAAAAAAACACATAAAATTCACCATGTATTTAGCCTACTAAAGAGGATACATATACTACTGTAGTACTATAAATGCCAGACTGTAAAGTAAGGTCTACGCGGGGAATATATCTTCCGTGCAAAAAATTATTATTATTATTAATATAATTTTGATATTATTTCTTTTAATGCTGTTTTTATTATTTTGTTGTGGATGTAAATGAAAAAGGAATAACAAAGGCAACGATTTATAGCTCTTAAACTTTGGTATTATTTCGCAAATGCACAGTAAATTGGGGCTGAGTTGACTACTTGGGGCCGAGCTGACTTGGGACCGAGTTGACTTGGGGCCCCCGAGTTGACTCGGGGGGGGGGGGCGAGTTGACTTGGGGCAGAGAGAGTTGACTTAGGGCTGAGTTGACTGGGGTCGAATTGATTGGGCCGAATTTATTCGAATTCCAACAATCTCCTTGCACAGTTTGCAAACTGTTAAGAATCTTGCAGCTTTCAAATTGTGCAAGAATCCTTGCAGTTTTCAAATTGTGCAAGATTTCCTTGGGCCTTGCAAACTGTGTAATTTGGCAAAAAAAAAAAGCTTGTACAATTTGAAAATTGTGCAAACGTCTCAAACTGTGCACGACATGACTAATAATGAGCCTGACTCAAGCCTAGGCCTACTACAAGCTAGCAACCTAGGGCCTCTTAGCCAAGCTAGGCCCTAACTAACTAGGCCTAGGCGGCCCAGGCCCACTAGGCCTAGTGGGCTAGCCTA